CTTCACTGTCTGATGCCCTGGAAGACAGCACGACTCTCAAGAGCAGGAACCATGGTTTTAGTTCTTTGTCATCCTAGGGCCTCCCAAGGAGCATGGCTGAGGTTTGCTTTAGATTGACTGTATTATTAGCTAATGTAATATTTACTTTTAAGATTTTTTAAAGTCAAAGACTAATTGCATAATGTAATGACATTAGAACCCAAAATAAAATGAATATTCCCCTTTGATGTTGTAAAGAATCCTATAGTTTCCCATTTCTAGGCTGTCGTAGTCATTATTGGAAGAGATGTGAACTAGGCGGGAAAGGAACAACATGCGTGTTTAGCCCTGTGAGCAGGCGTGCATGGACGCCCACACACTCAGCCTCCCTCATTCTGCCCCACCCTCGTATGTCCATCCTCCTTGCCACTTACACCTCTTTCCCCAACCCCTAAACTTCTTCAAGTTCTTGATTCAAAATGGCAGAACTAGTGAGGCAGCAGTGTGTTTGCCCATCAGGGCCACGCTTACCTGTCCTTGGTTTATCTATTGCAGTTAGGTCAGTGTTTCTCAAACATCTTTGACCAGAAATACATTATGTATATGTGTACATGTGTATATGCATATGGATATGCACACACACGCACACACACACACAGTGAAACACATCTCATGAAAGAATACATACAATAGCACCCCCCTTTGACTTTCTGCAGTTTCAGTTACAGTCTAGTACAATAAGATATTTTGAGAGAAATGGAGAGATCACATTTACGTAACTTTGTTTTTTTTTGAGAGACAGAGTTTAGCTCTTGTCACCCAGGCTGGAGTGCAGTGGCGCCATCTCAGCTCACTGCAACCTCTGCCTCCTGGGTTCAAGCAATTCTCCTGCCTCAGCCTCCCAAGTAGCTGGGATTACAGGCGCCTGCCACCACACCCAGCTGATTTTTGCATTTTTAACAGAGATGGGGTTTCACCATGTTGGCCAGGCTGGTCTTGAACTCCTGACCTCAGACGATTCGCCTGCCTCGGCCTCCCAAAGTGTCGGGATTACAGGTGTGAGCCACCGCGCCTGGCCTAAGGGTTTAACAAGGACAACAATATGATAAATCAACTGTAACAATACAGTGTAGTACATAGCTTTTATTACACTATGTAGTTTCAGTTGATTTATTATATTGTCCTTGTTAATCCCTTACTGTGCCTAGTTTATAAGTTAAACTTTATCATAGGTATGTGTGTGTAGGAAATAAAACACTGTATTTAAGGTTTGGTACTGTTCTCAGTTTCAGACATCCCCTGAGGGTCTTGGAACATTTCCCCCATTGATAAAGGGGGACTACTGTATTATTATTCTGTACAGTCCGTATTCACTATGCTGTTCATGGTGAGTGGTGTTCATGACCCGATACTGATTTCATAACCCTTGATGCTTCTTGACCAAAAGTTTGAAGAACATTGATCTAGGCCAATATTGATGGCAGGAAAAAGAAAAAGAAATTGTTGAATGACCTTCATTTAAAAGCAGTACCCATTGTTAGGGGCTTCATGGATTTATTAACTGCTTTTTAGAAGGAAAGAAATTCTACGTCCTTTTGACGTACATGGTGGATGTAATACGTCCTCAAGTCAGAAATGTGAGAAACACGGGGAGGTTTATGATGTAGTGTGAGAGGCATTGCTCACTTTGAGCTGGGCACTGTTCTCTGTGGACTACATAATGGACCTAATTAATTCTTGATGACAGTGTTGCAGGGTAGATAATTATGGATTAGAGTCAGTGAGTCGCTTTCCCTAGAATACAACACTAAGAAGAGCCAGAACTCCACTCCTCATGTGACTTTAAAGTCCACCTTGCTGTAATGTTCTGTCCCTGTTGGATCACATCTTGTGATTGAAGTGTTCCAGTCTTGGCATTCCCACTAGCTAGCTTCACTTGCACATACATATTCATTCAGCACGTATTTACCAATTATTATTATTATTTTTTTTTTGGAGACGAAGTCTTGCTCTGTTGCCGAGGCTGGAGTGCAGTGCCGTGGTCTCGGCTCACTGCAACCTCCGCCTCCCGGGTTCAAGGGATTCTCCTGCCTCAGCCTCCTGACTAGCTGGGACTATAGGCATGCACCACCACATCCAGCTAATTTTTTGTATTTTTAGTAGAGACGGTGTTTCACTATGTTAGCCAGGATGATCTCGATCTCCTGACCTCATGATCCGCCCACCTCTGCCTCCCAAAGTGCTGGGATTACACCACACCCAGCCTATGAAGTGTTTTTGTGTGTGTGTGCCAGCCCTTAGGAAAATGTGGCTCACCGTCTCTGCCCATTGGGAGCTTCCAGTAAGGGAAAAAGAGATACTTAAGCAGGTCAGCCTGACTCAATGTAATGGTTCTCTGATGGGAGTAGCAGTTGCTGAGAGGAAAGGAGGGTTTCTCAGGAGAGACCCTGCTGGGGCAGACTTGCAGATGTGATTCTCTAAGACAGGGCAACTGAACTTGTGGGGTCTCATATTTCTTCTTTGTAAAAGTAGGAGCTCAGACTGATTTATCCTGGTGTCCTTGAACTCGTATTTATGATCTTTCCTTAGCACCTTATCTGCATTACCTTGGCCCCTCCGACAACCAGAAACAAATTCTCCGTCCCTTTCTGTCTCAACGCTTGTGTTACCTTTTGAACTGCTCTTAAATTTCAGTTTCCTATTGAGGTGTGCCCTGGCTCTGAGCTCACAAAGGTGGCTGAACAGCACGAAACCCCGTGAGCAGTCAGATGTTGCATGTGTTGCACCTATTGTTTCACTGGTTGCCTGGAAGGGATCTTTTCTTATGGTTTTGTAATATCAAAATTGCTTTTCTTTTTTGTTTTTTGAGATGGAGTCTTGCTCTGTTGCCCAGGCTGGAGTGCAGGGCGTGATCTTGTCTCACTGCAACCTCCGCCTCCCAGGTTCACGCCATTCTCCTGCCTCAGCCTCCCAAGTAGCTGGGACTACAGGCGCGTGCCACCACGTCCGGCTAATTTTTTTGTGTGTGTGTTTTTAGTAGAGACGGGGTTTCACTGTGTTGGCCAGGATAGTCTCAATCTCCTGACCTTGTGATCCGCCCGCCTTGGCCTCCCAAAGTGCTGGATTACAGGCGTGAGTCACCATGCCCAGCCCAAAATTGCTTTTTAATTACAGTAAAAGCAAACTGTTTTCATCATGGAAAAAAGTAAGTAATACGTAGTGTTCATGGAGAACAGTATCAGAAAAGGGTAGTGAGGAAGGAGGGAAGATTTGGAAATGAAGAGATACTGAAAAGAGAAGAGAAGAAATTGATAATAATGGAAAGTTAGAGAATACCTTTTTATTCGGTGATGTCCTCAGTGTAAAAATACTGCCTTCACCTTCTGAAATTCTGGTCCATTGCTGCTAACTCTGCCCTCGTGATTAAGCATGACGGCTGTTACCTCTCTTCTTCACTATTCGCTCTCTATTTCTGTATAACAAATTTCCGCCAAACTTAGCGCTTAAAACAGTGAATATTTATTGTCTTAAACATTTGCTGCCTTCATACTTTATAGAATTAAAGTTTAAAGAATTGCATTAGCTTTTATGTGGAATTTCAATTCTAGATATCAAAAAGTAAAATATAAGGTGGCAAGTGTATGTTGTTATCTTCCTTTCCTTTCCACTCATTTGTAGAATCCAAATTTACACTAAGATGGACTGTCAGCGACTGTCCCTGCAGTGAATCCCAGGCAGTTTCCCATCTCACTTAACATGCCTTGTGGGATGCTCCAGCCTGAGTTCAAGGCCTCCAGGGTAGAGTCTGACGGAGTGAGTGCTGGTGGCACTCGTGAATAGCAGTCTGTGGCTCATGTTCGTAAATTGCCTAAGCAAAGCAAGCCGTAAGCTCATTAGCAGTGCATTTCAGTGCGTTGACTCTGGGCACGGAAAGTCACCCCCTAGAGGTTGGGTGGAAGTTTCTCTGGCTCCTTCTCTTTTTTTATTTTTTGGGAGAAAAATAAAAAATAATAAACTGTTTGAAGTAAGTTTGTGTAATCACTCCACACCTGGGGAAACTCCCAGTTTTGGGTATTCTTTTAGATTTAAGCTTCATAAACTGACATTTCCTTTTTTCCTTTTTCCTTTTTTTTTTTTTTCAGTGGTGAGTGTCTGGTGTTTGGAAATGATCCCCATCAGATTACATTCTTTTTAACAGCTTGCTGCATGTGTAAGGATGTCATTGGGTGCATCTGTCACACTTGCTACATGAAGCTAGGTAGAATTTCTTCTAATATTTAAACTATGGGAAGCATAACAGTCACATTTTTAATTAGTGGCGTTGGTTCAGCCTGAAGAATCTTAGGATCTTTAGTGGTTAAATTATACGACTCTTGAAATGAACTGATCTCAGGCAAGCCAGTGCTTTATAATACTTTATTTGAACTCATAAAAACTAGGGGAAAAAAATGGCCTCAGAATAACCCCTGATAAAGTTTTTTCAGAGATGTTAGTTATTGGAAAAGCTTAAGCTATGTATGTTCACGGGAAAAAATGGGTTTAAAAATTACTGTTAGCAATCTTAGTTTGTGGATAAAAATACAGAAGTCGCTTACTAGAGTTGGTATTGTTCTTATTTCTTTGTTAATGGAGTCCTTAGAAATGCTGGGTTTTGGCCAGGCACGGTGGCTCATGCCTGTAATCCCAGCACTTTGGGAGGCCATGGCAGGAGGATCAGTTGAACTCAGGAGTTGGAGACCAGCCTGAGCAACATGGTGAGATCCCTTCTCTACAAAAAATACAAAAATTAGCCAGGTGTGTGGCACGCACCTGTGGTCCCAGCTACTCAGGAGGCTGAGGTGGGAGAATGGCCTGAGGCTGGGAAGTGGATGTTTCACTGAGCTGAGATCATGCCACTGCACTCCAGCCTGGGTGACAGAGCGAGACTGTGTCTCAGAAAAAAGAGAAAGCTTGGGTTTATCAGATTGCAGAAGATGAGGCGGTAGAGAGGACTGATTCCGGGCACCGGATGTCTTGGCCTCACCTCCATGGCCTTGTAAAGTCTGAAGTTGCTTTGCCCTAGCTCGGGTACTGACATCTTCAGTTTCTAAGCCTCGTTTTTGTTTCTTAATTGTGTTATACAATCTTCACTGGAATAGACTCAGTCACCACAAGAGGAAAAAGAAAGTGGTTCATCAAGTGGATGTTTCTGCAGAATGTAAGATTTCAAAGTTCAGATTTGTATTGCATGTTTGGTAAAGTTTGGTGTTTTAAAGAATTTACATTTTAGAGTAAAGGAGCATGTAAGAGACTTCTATTTTATCCAAACACTTGGTACTAAAAATATTTTTTAAAGCAATCCTTTTTATTAAATTTATTTTTAACAAGTGAAGATATTTTGGCAAATTAGAAAATTAAAAGATTAAATCAGAAATATTGGCTACTCACTGCCTGTAACCATTAAGTTGCCTTAGAAAGATCGAAATTACTAACCGCTGGAAATGTGAAAACCTGATCATGAGGAAAGCCCAGTTCTCCGAGTTCTTTCCGTGTTTCTCATTTGGCTTTAAAAATTGCTACTGTTACAGAAAGGAAATTGACCACACAAGAGTTAAGTGATCCCAAGGCCACAAGAAGGAAAACACTCCACAAAGTTAAGCTTAGGGAATTCTGAAGGACAGCTAGGAGAGCGAAGATAGAGTGAGGGAAAATATTCCTGTCAGCAGAAAGAGAGTGTGCGAAGTGTGGCGATGAGAAAGCAAACGTTACGTTCGGGGATACTTGTGCTGTGAACATAGTAGTTTGAGATTTTCCTAAATATAATGTTTAAAATATTTTTATATTGATTATTTTTTCTGCTTAATAAAACTTACTCATTAAGTTTTCCTTTTTGTAGATGAAAGCCAAAAAATTCTAATATGGTGCTTATGTTGTCTAATTAACAAAGAACCACAGAATTCTAGACAATCAAAACTTAACTCCTGGGTACAGGTAAGAGAGTAAATCTTGCTCTGCACTTCTTTGAATTAAATTGATTATTTAAAAGTGCTGCTTAAAAAATTGTTGGGGGGGGATCCAGTTCTGTGATGTTTTAGAAACTTTTTCAAACATACCCTTCACTGTTACCTTATCTTGCTGGGTAAAAAGTTTTTCAAGAGATTTCAATTTTGCTCGACTGTGAATTCCAAAAGATATAATTCTTCAGGGTGAAGACCTAATGTTGAGTGGTTTTGAAAAACTTCTTTCAGGTGATTAATGTATTCCGTTTCACTCTAACAACTGCTAGCCTTCAAAAAATTGTTTTTGCCTACCAACCTGGTTTAGATTCCTTTCCACCTGCTTCTCTGCCTCTCTCAAAATCTGTTTTGTAGTAACATGAAAACTCAGCAGTGCGGCGGGAGCAGCACTCTTTATTTTGTGTCCCGAAGTTGGCGCCTGGGCCAGCATGCGCACAGACTAGATCTTGGTGCTGCGTGGCCTCTGCTGCTCACACTTTGCAACTGGCTACCTACTGTGCTCGTCCAGATAGCTGACAGCTTCCTAGATTTGCCTGTCTGCTTCCGCTTTCTCCCGAAGGGCAGGCGTCAGGTGGAGCTGTGGTGAGGCTGGGCTGCAGCTGCCGTCATCAGCGGCGCATTGGCTGTTCTTTTCTGTTCCCCACACTGCCTTCTGCAGCAACCCCAGGACTTGCTGGTGCCGGTCAGACTCCACTTAGTGTGCGTGTGGTTCAGATTAGCTGCTTAGCATTATGAAGTCGTCCAAACAGATGAGTGCATATGGTTTTGTCTGTCAGTCTGACTGGTGAGATCGTTACATTCACTGCTTTTTATGATTTCTTTGTTTTAGACAAAACTGCTAACAGAGATGATGAAGACTGTATTTGTATTTTTCTGTTTGAAAGAATAGAAGGGAGTCAGAGGGATTGGGCAATGGAAGGAAAGAATACAAACTTTAATTGGAAGGAAAATTAATGTAAGGAACTGAAGAAAGGAACAGATAAGTAGAATTAGGGAAGAAAGAATGCATAACAAGGCCTAAGAAACAAAATAACATATTTAGTCCTTAATTGTTTTAATTGCTGCTTTTATTGAATATTTGATATTTTAATGCATACTTAGCATATAATTTTGCATTAGATAGCTCATTGAGTCCTGAAGTGGGCCATCTAATGAAGTGTTTTTAGCGTGACTGGGTTAACTTTCTTCATTTAACTCATGACTTTATTAGCCTATTTAAAAATTTCTAGCCTTACATTTTATTCTGTGTTTTCCTTGTTTAATACTCTATCTACTTATTAGTAGGTACTTATTAAGTATAGTTGAGGGAGTTAAAACACTTAATCCGTGCCTTCAGGGAATTCCCAGACTGGTAACAGGTCACTCCAGGGTAGCATGGTTGGGTTATGACTAGAGCTGTGTTTAGGTATGATGATGACGTAGAGGGGGACACTTACTTTCACGTGGGGGTTTGGAGACATTTCCTGGGGCAGGTGACGTGTTAATTGAATTCTGAAGGACAGCTAGGAGAGCAAGGATATAGTTAGGGAGAATATTCCTATCAGCATAAATAGACTATGCAAAGTATGGTGGTGAGAAAGCAAACGTATTCAGGGGACTGCAGGTGCTTAGGTGTGCCTGGAACTTGGGATTTTGTGGAGTTGGTGATGAAGCACGAAGCCAGAGAGACTGGCAAGTACAGTCCTTGCATATGACTATAGAAGCTTTTTATCTTGATGGCAGTGGGGCAGCCACCAGAGTATTTAAACAGAGAGATCATGCCTGGGCACGGTGGCTCACGCCTGTAATCCCAGCACTTTGGGAGGCCAAGGTGGGCAAAACATGACGTCAGGAGGTCAAAACCATCCTGGCTAACATGGTGAGACCTTGTCTCTACTAAAAATACAAAAAATTAGCCAGGCGTGGTAGTGGGCACCTGTAGTCCCAGCTACTAGGGAGGCTGAGGCAGGAGAATCGCTTGAACCTGCGAGGCAGAGGTTGCAGTGAGCTGATACCATGCCACTGCACTCTAGCCTGGGTGACGGAGCAAGACTCTGTCTCAAAAAGAAAAAAAAAAAAAGTCAGAGAAATCATGAAATCATGTTGCCAGTATGAGTTTTAGAGACTAACAGCAAAAGGAAGTTCGTTGAGAAGAGGCCAAGGATAGACATTGGAAGCTATTGTACTGATAAGTTGAGAAATTGAGAGGGCCTCAAAGAAATGGAGGAGGGGGCCCGATTTATAAAATATTAATAAGGTAAATTCCCATCAGGTATAATGGCAGATTAAATGTCGATACACTTAGGCATAACTGGAAATGTACAGAGAGCAGGTGAATATCCCATTCTCAGGGGAGCAAGCTGATTTGCTGGCAGAGGGTTGAAAGTCAGCCACCTGTGGGAATAGTGGAAGCCTTAGGTGAGGTGGGTGCTGGGACAGGGGCCCAGGGGAACTGGAGAGAGCCTTGGGAGACACTGACCTTAAGGGGAAGTGGAAGAATGATTGATGCTGCAGAATACAAGGAGGGTTCCAAGAAGTAGAAGGAGAGAAGCAATGGAGAATTAGTGCACGTTCATATCTAATGCCGTAGAGCAGCGCCGTCTAGTAGGAATAAAATACATGCTGCATAGATAATGGTAAACTCTCCAGGTGCTGCTTTAAGAAACATAAAAAGAAATAGTTAAAATTAATTTTAAGAAGATATTTTACCTAATTCAGTATATCCCAGATACCATTGTTTCAACATGTAATCAATATTAAAATTACTAATGAGATTATAATCTTTCTTATGATGTATCTTTGAAATCCAGTGTGTGTGTTACACTAACACTTACATCTACGTGTTGTATCTTCATTCAGACATTAAATTTTCTTTGCAAATTCTTGATCTGTATTTAGATTTTATAAAATATAGGGTTGAAAAAGTAGATTCACATACCCAGGTTGTTCCAAGGAATTTTATAACTGAATCAAGAATCGGTGTTTAAATTAAACTTGAATTAAAATTAAATAAAAAGCTCAGTTACTCCCTGGTGCTTCCTGCACTGCAGTGCTCTGCAGCCACATGTGGCAGGCGGCCACTATGTTGGACAGGGTGGCTGCGGAGCATAAGGCAGAAGGGTCGAGAAACGCTACTTGGATTCAGCCACTGTGAGCAAAGACTCGGTGAGGAGAGGTTTGGTGAGAGGTGGAGGGGAATAGCCAGATTGCTCCAGACTGAGAAATGATGGGGAGGTGAGGAAGCAGAGATGATAAACTTCACTCTTTCAAGAAACTTGGAGGGAGGACTTTGGCAGTGAAGGAGGTGATAGCCAGACTAGGGTGGGGTTGGCTGAATTGAGCAAGTCCTGAACATGCTTTACGTTGAGATGAATGTGCGGGTAGGGAACAGGTGAGGATGTGGGAGGTTGGGAAAACGATTTCCCTTCGTGGTTACCAAGCAAGCCTGAACTAAATAACATGAACCGATAAAACAATGTCTAAGAACATATTAATGATTCAACTCTTAACAATTTATTGTTAACATATTAATTATTTAACTCTTAACTCTAAAGCTAATTACATTGCCCATCATCAGTCAGTACATGCATAATCTCATGTTGGCCGTAAATGCAGCAAGATAGAAGGTAGTCTGTAGGTTGGTTTATAAATCAGTTCACATCTCGGGTGTACTTGGTTTTATCTTAGAGGTGATATTTTCTTCGTGGAGGTTTTAGAGTGACATGGTACACGTTAAAGATGTGTACCTTGTCATGCAATATCCTTGTGAACATTATAAAACAGCCATATTTTAATGTTTGCTAATTCATTCAGCAAGTATTTATTAGGGCCTGCCATGTGCTGGGATGTTCTAATTGTGGTAATAAAATCTTGGGTCATTCTGTGTTGTTGGAGCATTACAAGTATGATTGAAATACCCTAAATCGAAAACTAATAATTTCTATGGTAAATTACAAAATTCAGTAAACATTCATTAATTAATAAATTTGAAAATGACAGACTGAGTTGTATTTTTAGCACAGAGAAAAAATGCTTCTGTTTGACACTTGACATGTTAGCATGTGTTATATTGGAAATACATTAGTAAAATGTTTTGGAGTTTTACTGACAACCTTGAATGTGCCGTCATGGAGCACCACCTCAGCAGCTCTTCTTACAGTTCAGAGACAAAGTTCTGGGACTCTTTCACATATTTTGGGAATATGTGGTCTTGAAAAACGTAGTTTTACTGATGAATCCACTGAACAGATACTTTTTGAGCACCTACTGTTTGCCAGGCACTACTGTAGAGGCTGAGGATACAGCACTGGACCTAGAAAGACAGTCTGTTCTCAGAGGCTACAATAGATGGGGAAGGTTTCCAGGGCCTGCCAAATGTAGGAGGATGCCTGTCTTCTCTGGCAAAACCATACCACTATTATTTTTTATTCTGATGAAAAACACACACACACACACACACACACACACACACACACACACACAAAAAAAACAGGGTGCCAGGAACAGAGATCCGAAGGTGATGTATTCTATCTGTATTCCCTTTCGAAATGCAGTACTAAGCAATATCCAGATAGCTTCTGTCCTCTACTTTCTTCTTTTAAAAAAAAAACTTAAAGATCTAACAGACTTACACAAAACATAAATGCCAAGCTTAACAAGTTGTGAAAGATCCTTGTAATCACCACCCAAGGAAATAGAACAGAACACTGACTGCTTCTGGATGCCCCTGCCCCCTATGTGCCCCTTGTTGCTTTTTTTTTTTTTTTTTTTTTTTTGAGATGGAGTTTCGCTTTTGTTGCCCAGGCTGGAGTGCAGTGGTGTATTCTCGGCTCGCTGCAACCTCTGCCTGCCGGGTTCAAGCGATTCTTCTGCCTCAACCTCCCGAGTAGCTGGGATTACAGACAGGCGTGTACCACCATGCCCAGGTAATTTTGTATTTTTAGTAGAGATGGGGTTCTTCCATGTTGGTCAGGCTGGTCTCAAACTCCCCACCTC